CGAGTGTCAAAGATTAGCCCTAAAAGCTTTAGCAGATTCTTTGTACAAAAGGGGATGACCCCTGTTACCTAACAGTACAGTAAATAGGTATCTGGGAGTTAGCTGTTACAGGCTGCTTCCTAGGGGGGTGCGTGTGTGGGAGAAAAAAATTTTTAGTAGTTAACCACTGAACTGCTCTGTCTCCAAATAACACCCTGGTGCACAAGAAATAAATTCTTTCCAAAAAAATTTTTTCTCTTCTTATATTGTTAAAATGCAGAGTCTGATCACGGGGAAACTAAACAAAAAATATTGTATGTGACTTACTTTAGCTGCGATGGAGCTGGGAAGTTGAGCAAATTATGGGCGCTGAGCGTTGGAGCGATGGGGGTCTGTCGGCCCCGCCACCCCGTGCGACGGCAGTTGCTGCGAATAAAATGTTGCGCAATTATTTAGAAGTTTCTCATTCATTTCTTCCTTTTTTTTGCTGTAATATTATTTAAAAGTGTGTAATTTGTGGAATTTATATAATTCAAAGTATAGAACATCGCTATGCTCAAAATTATGGGCCTCATATATGCGACATATTCTACAATCAGTGTTTTTGCTGTTATTACACTACGGTATATACACACATTGTATATACCCATCTACGTATGTATTCACCATAACGATCCACTATGTTGGTATGGTGAGCCCAAAAAACATGAGTGAGCTGCCACACCCTGCCAGTCCTCCCTCCCTCCTCCAACACATTACTCGCCAACATTCCTCCTCCCAAAATACTGTTATTGTGTTTATTACACTATTTACACACGTTATGTATAAGTATGTACATGTTTTATTCATGTACATACGTACATACTTGCCATCTCCTCACCTCTCTCTCTTGCCTACTTAATGCTCTTGCTTCCCTCATCTCATCACAATCGACTTTACAATGGTCCAGGATGGATCGAAATGTCGTCTATTCAATTTCCAGTGTGTGGTTTGGTCAACAATGAAATCTTCATGCAAGATCTTATAAAGAAAACCCCTAGAACAAGTTTTGCAGATACGAAAGAGTTTAAGGTGAGTAGGGGATGGTTTGAGAAATTTTGAAAAAAGACGTGGTATTCATAGTGGTGTGAGGCATGGTGAGGGTGCCAGCTCAGACAAAGTAGGGGCTGAAAGATTTGTTCGTGATTTTAAAGATTTTGTAGATACTGTATTGATGGATATATTCCACAATAAGTGTTTAATTGTGAGGAGACATGGCTATTCTGGAAAAAATTGCCGAAGAGGACATACATTACCCAAGAGGAGACGTCACTGCCCGGACACAAGCTAACTTGGGCTAACTTGTGTCAGGATAGGCTAACTCTTGTGCTGTGTGGCGATTTGAAAATTAAACCCTTGCTCGTGTATCATTCCGAAAATCCAAGATTTTTAAAAAATATATAATGTGCAGAAAAACTGTGATGTAGAGTAGTTTGCCCTGCCATCAAAAAATATCTGCAAGAGAAAAGTTTGACACTAAAGGGCCTGCTTCTCGACAATGCTCCTGCTCATCCTCCAGACTTGGAGGATGCATTGTTGGGGCCACTTTTTTTTTTTTTAGGGATATTCCTGCATGGGCCCTAAGTTTCTGGCTAATGAACCAATGACATGAAGGAGGAGTTTTCAACCTACCTTGTGTTAGGTGTGCAGGGGTCAATAGGCTGAACATAATGTCAGGAGCAAAGGGGGGCGTTTGCCTCTTCAAACACAATTGTGACCATCTTCATCTCTTCGAACTATCCTAAATGCTCTCTTCACCTGTCTGACCAAATTGGGTGTCCAGACCACCTTTGAATCTGAAATTGTAAAATTAATAGTGATTTCAGAATATTCAGTCCATTTATACTAACAAAATTATATACAGTATACTGTAATTGAAATTTTCCAGAATGATAAAGGCAATTTAGTAACTTTGTTAAAATGCACATGGGGGAAATACATGAAAATAGGTTAATATGGTTTGTAAGGTTGATGGGAAATGTTTATTACTTTTACGATTTAAAAGATGTATAGCCCTGATACTCCATCCTGGGTGCATTCCACCAGGTAATGACCACAGCAAAAGTTTTCCACGAGGCTCTATTGTCACACAAACTTTTCACATTCATCTTTTTCCCCCCTCGTTCCAGGGGTTTTCTTTAAAAGGTCTTCATGCAAATGCCTTGGTTTCTCACAAAAGATGGCCTCTGAAATGCTATCACCTGCTAACTCTTTGTTGTGTATCCAAATTAATAAAAACTTTTCAACATCCTCAAGTGTTTGTGTTCTTTGTTTCGGGATTGTTGATATGCCTTTTGCCACTTTAACGCTCATAATGTCCTTTTTCTTAGCAAGTATAGTGCATATTGTTGACATAGATTTGTTGTACTGCCTAGCTACTTCAACAGCCTGTGCACCATTTTGATGTTTATGAATGCTCTCTTGTTTTTCCTCTATGGTCATTCTCACATGTGTTTTCTTGGCTTGAACCTTACCACTGGCTTTCTTGGGACTCATGGCAAGATATATCATAACAAATTTTATGTTCAAATAGCCAAAAATCCCAAAACAAATGTAATGCTTTACAAAGAATTCAGGCGTGATACTTACTAGGCAGGAGACACTGGTAAACTGAGGCGCGATCACCATGCCACCACACGCTAGGTCAGCCCATACGTATATCAACAAACTCCTTTCCCGAGGCAAAGTTTGTAACCCGATTCAAATTTTTCGAAGAAATTAGGCTCGTAACCTGAAAAGTTCATAAATATTCATTCGTAAGCTGAGGTGTCACTATATATAACTAAAAAATTAAACTCAGGATTACTTTCAACCCCCACCCCTTTTGCTCTACTCCATCGCCACCTACCTTCACCCCCCTCTATGATGTACTCTTCCATAGACACCTACCTTTGCCCCCCTCCTCCCCTCTACTCCTCCATCATCACCTACCTTCACACCCCCTCCCTTCTCCTCCTCCATCGTCACCTTCCTTTCACCCTCCTCTATGATGTACTCTTCCATAGACACCTACGTTTACTGCATATAATGCTCCCCTCTACTCCTCCATCGTCACCTACTTTCACCCCCCCTCCGCTCTACTCCTCCAGTGTCGCAGACAATTTCACGAGCGTGAGAACTACGAGTTCTCTAACCACTCTCACACTCCTACTCTCTCACCAGTGAGGGGGAGGGAAGGAGGGAGGAAATGAAGGAAGAAAGGTGGGGGAGAGAGAAAAGGCAGGGGGGAGGAGGGCCTAGATACATTTCTTCCATATAGATAGGTAGACTGAGGGAGAGCTGCTTGCCAAGAGCCCTATCAGACAGGCTTCCTATTCCTCAACCCTCCCTAATATGCCACATCCTGGTCAGGACAACTTGCTCGATTGTTATTCTTGGTGTGACTCGAGAACTGACCTCGAGGCGGGGCATGGGCATGGATTATCTCCCTGGGGCACGCACCTCCCTGCCCCAGCTCTCTCTCTCTCTCACATAATCTATCAAGGGTCTAACATGAGGTCATTGTGCCTACCAGAAGTGTATATGTCCAAGGCTGGCCACCTGTCTGGACCATTCAAATGTATAAACACGTAATTAGTCTATTAAAATTATATATAATGCTACAATTATAAATTAATTTGTTCATGGTCATTCGTTTATCAGTATTTTAATATGAGGTATATATACGCATGTATGTATACGTTGACGTACACATATATGATTATGTGTATGGAATGATTATGATTATGTGTAATCATATATGATTATATCTAATGGAATGCATTAGTAAGTGATGTGGTGGAGGCTGACTCCATACACAGGTTCAAGTGTAGATATGATAGAGCCCAATAGGCTCAGAAACCTGTACACCTGTTGATTGATGGTTGAGAGGTGGAACTAAAGAGCCAGAGCTCAACCCCAGCAAGCACAATTAGGTGAGTATATGAACGAATGCACATGTACACTTTCAAATGAATTAAGATACCTTGAGATACACAATGACTTAGTTTAAATAGTTTAAACACATTATGGTACTGATTTTGACATGCTGATGTCTGGAAGGGAGAGGGGGTGTGGGGGGTTATTGTTTGAGGTGGAGGACCAGAGGAGGGGTCAGTGGAAGGATGGTGGCTGGAGGGATGCCATTGTTCTAATGGTTATGAAAACAATTATTGATGGCAGGAATTCAGTGGGTGTGTACTTCACCCGCACCATCACCATACTGTGCCCTGCTACAACCCCCCCCCCCCCACTCCACCCATGCTGTGCGGGCGTATTACACATTATGGGATAACCGACTGTGTCCATTCCTGTCTGCTCGTTATGCTGCCCTTCCTTTTGAAAATTGTCTGCTTTATCGACTTCCTTCAAGACCACACGTTAGCCTCTTATCACGCCCTCTTACCACTAGCAGGGAGCCGGCTCTTCTATACAATAGTTACCACTCAGTCCCCAAGGTGAAAGAGTGTCCGGGCATATGACTTGTTACGTGTACTTATTTGCGATTCGTTTGGGCTGTCACGTGTGGTGATTAGTGTTGGGTAAGGCTAGGCCAGGTCAGGTCAGACTAGGCTAGGTCAGGCTAGGCCAGGTCAGGCTAGGCCAGGTCTGGCTAGGCCAGGTCTGGCTAGGCCAGGTCAGGTCAGGCCAGGTCAGGCCAGGCCAGGCCAGGCCAGGCAGGGTGAGAGAAGTAAAGCGGCAGGTACTTACGTTTCCGAGAAAGTAGCGGCGGTAGTATATTGTTGATTTAGATTCGACGACATCCTGAAGCTAGTAGGTGGCGACCTCATCGCTCTCGAACTTCTTCTTGTTGTAGGGGATACGAGGCACACCCAATATCCCCCTTACATTGATCACATCGCACACTAATATTTTTACTATTTCGGACACCAGATTTGTCTGTTTCGTATATGTATAATTGTTCAATATTAAAACCACAATAGAATGCTCTTAACAGTTACAATTTTCAACTTAACAGCCATATAGTTGGCATGAACGCCGCCCGCCAGTGTAAATGTTCGGCCTTGCCCAGAGGCTGTTGACATCTGCTGTGTTGGCAGTATTTACCTATTTATGCCTGTATCATAGACCTTCACCTGCCTGGCGAGAGACCACGCTACAGTTAAGGAGGAGTCTTGCCTCTCTCACCATCACACACAAGACTGGCAAGTTGAAAATGGAGTTATTATTTGTTGGTGTATTTAAAATGCGAATGTAAGTGAAGCCACATAATGAACCCATTGCGTATGCAAACCGTCGCAACACTTGTGGTGGTGGTGTTAGACACACACACACATTATGGCATTAGGAAAGACGGCATTCGTTTAGCCTAAGTGCACTTTACAATTGTTAAATGTACCCAGGGAAGGTTAGTGTATTGTGAGGCCACACTCGCCCTCATAGTGGCGTGTGCAACATGACTTCTATAGCAACAGGCGTTGCTGGAGGGTGCATCCTGTTACGTCTACCTACATACAGTCATGATTTAAAACAGGCTCGTGTAAACTCACTCAATTCAATTTCTGCATTTTCTTTATTGTGCACCCCATACCGTGGGTGGTGGAAAGGGTTACAGAGGCACATAATAAGTTAAGGAACTGAACCCCAGAGTTCATTTAGCTAAGCAAGTGATAATCTTTTGAAGGAAGTTACACAATTTTTAATGTTACATACACACATGTACATATATGTACATGTATACATACATATATATATTACACAGTCTCCGTGGTGAAGTGGTAAGACACTCGCCTGGCGTTCCACAAGCGCTTTGTCATGGGTTCGTATCCTGGCCGGGGAGGATTTACTGGGCGCAAATCCTTAACTGTAGCCTCTGTTTAACGCATCAGTAAAATGTGTACTTGGTTGTAACAACGATTCTTCGCGGCAGGGGATCGTTTTCCAGGGACCTGCCCGAAACGCTACGCGTACTAGTGACTGTACAAGAATGTAACAACTCTTGTATATATCTCTAAAAAAAAAAAAAAAAAAAAACTGGCATTACTCTTGTTTTTTTTAGGTATATCAGGAAAAGTATGACACTATAAAGATTTGTTAAATGCATGTCATATTACTTACCTGAGTCCCTGTGCATAATTATTATCAAGTTACTTCACTTGCGATTGAAATGAAGTGAACGATTCTGTAGAGTGAACCACAGAGGTATTGCGAGGTAAAGGGTCATACGTCAGCCACAGTAGCTCGATGCAAACTGAAGGCTTCCCACCAATGTGGCCTACTCAGGATGTTTACAAGATGGCAGCTGTTTACTATCACCCCCCTGAGCATCATCTGGTTGCCCCCTTTACACTATGGGGGTGCATCCGATCTTTCGAGCGTTGTCGCCCCTCAAACAACGACTACTATACACTACAGGCTTTTAAATTTTGGCTGGGACTTTGAAACATCCCCAACAGTGTTGTGCAATTTATGGATGATTAACAAGAACAGCCCTGCCTGTGTTGAGCAGTACAAGGGTTAATTAACCTCAAAGATGCTAAGCTATTTATAAGTCTTACATCGTGGTACACATTGAAAAAAAAATGTACCGAACTGAAAACCCCACACGGATCAATTGCATATGGCGATTTTTCACAGGAAGAAATTGCATGTAGCGATTGGAGCAGTGTAAGAATTAATGGTAGTTTACACTAATGCTTCTGCTACAGTTTTTAATCACTTACTATGGTATGTTCTGCAGCACTTTAATCCTTTAGTTTGGGTAATTATTAAGATTTTCTTTTTCTTTAGGTATAGTGAAGCAGTCATGGCAGACCAGACGATCTTCCTTCGGTGGAATGACCACCATAATTGTATCCTGCGCATGCTCTCCAACATCAGAAAAAAGGTAATGAAGACAAAAAATATATTACAGTACAGGACTGTATACACATTATACTACATGCCTATAATTTTCAGTATAAAAATATTTTCAGGTTAAAGATGTTTGAATCTTGTTCACACAATTATGAATAATTTTAGATATGTATACCTGGAGTGGATTCTGGAAGTTCTACTCCATAAGCCCAGCCTGGGGCCAGGCATGACTTGTGATCATTTTATTCAACAGGTTGTTGTACAGTTATCAGTAATACATACTGTATTACTGAGAAAATCAGTATGAGCCACGAGGAGTATTCAACCCCATGCACTTGATACTCTTAAGCAAATGCCCTAGACCACTACACCACGAGATGGTCAAACACAATGCAACCTTTGATTCTACTGAATCCTCTAGAGGGTCCTGTGGCTTCCAATTGAAGCCCAATTAGGGTTTCATGCATTGCACCCATGCACTCTGGCTTATGGTGCAGTAGTTCTACTTGCAATGCTTCTCATCAAATGCACAATGAAATCACAATAAAGTGATATATCGGTGAGAAAATTAATTTTCTCATTGATAATCACGTTAAAGTGATTACATTGTGCACTGTACTTGGTGTCCTTTATCACAGTGGTTATAACTGATTGGTTCTAGGTTTGATTCCAAGGGAAAGGAAGATGGCTAGGCACACTTATTTACACCCTATGCCATGGTTATCAGTCAAATAGATATTTGGGATAGAAATGTCTTAAGCATTAAAATAATTTCATTGATTTTGCCATTACCTCAATTTTTGTTTTTATTTCAGGAACAGTATTGTGATGCCACAATAATGTGTGAAGGCCGTTTCTTCCCAGTTCATAGGATTGTTTTGGCAACCTGTAGTAGCTATTTTGAAGATATTTTTGCTAAACTTAATTGCAATCATCCAATGATTGTTTTAATGGATACTAAATCTGCTTATTTAGAAGTTTTGTTATCATACATGTATGGAGGAGAAATAGGCATCTTGGAAAGAAATCTTGCTGATGTTTTACGTACTGCATCTGCTCTTAAAGTGAAAGGGCTCTTTGAGCACACAGTCAGTAATGCAGATGTAGAAGTAAATAGAGAGGTAAAGATACCCAAACCTCACTCTAACATACAGTATAATCTGAAATCAAACATGATAAATGTCATTCCGGCAAGTGACCAGCAAGAAGAAGAAAGTAACAATGAAATAATAGATTGTGATAGTCAACACACAGAAGTCAAACAGCTTACACAAATGAAGTTACCTAGACAAGGTCCATCATCTTCAGTTGTAGTAAAGGATAATTCACCTAGACAAAGTTCATCAACTTCATTTGCCATAGAGGACAATTTGCCTAGACATTGCCCATCAGTTGCAGTTGCCATAGAGGATAATTCACCTAGACAAGGTCCTTCACCTTCAGTTGCAATTAAGGATGCTTTTAAAATTAATGGAAATTTCAAAGATAGCATGCAAGATTCACCAGGTATGTGTATTTTGCCAAATTTGGATATGAGCTTGGTAGGGTCACATACACACACACAATCCTTGGAAGAAATGTTGCCTGTGGATTCCATTGCTGATGGAGAAAATAGTCATGAAGATTTGGTGCTGTGGAGAGAGCACACAAGTTTGAAACCACAAAACAAAGTAAATATGAGGCAAACACTCGCCGGCTCTGATGTGGACCCTGCTGATGAGGTGAGCACAGTTTTGTACTTGAATTTATTTTCTAAATACAATTAGAAAATTAGGTTAACTAGAAATATTGATAATTATATAATATAAAATATAGTTATACTAATTGCATTACAATTTTCAGAGTATAATGGAGGAGATAGATTTGAAGAATGAAAGTGGTGAATTGTGTCCACAGGCAAAGATTGATGGTGATTGCATCCACTGCAGAGAGATTTGTGATTCCAATTATGCTAACAGCACATTAAAGGACAAAAATGAGATACCCGTGGGCACCTTTTTCCAAGAAAATAAGATCCCACATGACAATTATCCAGAAAATGAGGGTGAAATTCAGTTATTCAAAGATGATCTCCATTTGAGCGCGTCGGTTACATACATTATTAATGAACATCAAGATAATGATATGTGTGTGACTAAAAGCAGTATGGCTGTGCAGAATAGTAATACTACTCAAGACACTACAAATTTACAGAGGACTGAGGAGTCTTCTGGGTCAGAGTCTAGTGTAAATGCACATGCTATAGAAACAGATAATGCTGTTAATCATTGCAGTTATGAAAAGAATGAGATCAGAACTATAAATAAATTTAACAGTAATGTACATAATAAAAAATCCGTGCCTTTAGCATTAAAACGTCTGAATGTCAGTTGGTATACAAATAGTGTCACTGCATCAAATACTAGTCCATCTCGAGCATCTGTACCAATTGAGCAAATTAAAGGACAGTCAAAGATAATAAAAATGCAGACAAACTCCTCAGGCTCAAGGTCTCAGTCTGCAGCAATTTATGGCTCTCAGATTGGAAGAAATCCAGAACAAAAAAATTCCAAGGAAGTAACTTTGCTCGAAACATCATTGAACAACTACAGAACCCGGTCCAGAAAGGTATGTAATTTGTACCCTTAAAATTTTTTAAGTATGTGTGCTTGTTTCCTTATCTCCATAAGAAATGGCTGGATTTCACTTATCTAATTCATATTTATCCTTAATGTTCTTTCAGTGAATTTTAAAGAATACTGTAGGTCCTACCCATACTGTTGTGGAACATTTATACACAAATATGAGAGAGGACATTATTGAAGATGTTAACTTAGCAGTAAAGGCTATTATCAGATCCAGCAAATGCAGGGCTAACTGGCTGTAAATATAAAAGATGTGGGTGTGACCTGACATGTAAGAAATTTAGCATTTCTCAATTTATATTTTTATCTTGACAATTTGCAGTAAATTACAGAAACGTCATAGATTCCGGTCAATGTAGTTGTAGTGTTTGATAACTGCAGATTTTCTACGCTTCTAGCTTAAGTTTTATTTTTTAAAGATGCTTTTAGCATCCTGATAGTTCATGATGTGTTGTTTTTTATGGTATATTATTGCCATATTGACGTTAATGATACAGCACGGATGCACAGTGGTACCTCCGTTTTCAAATTTAATCCATTCCTAGAAACAGTTCGAAAACAGAAAATTACGAATTTTTCCATAAGAAATAATTAAATTAAATTACTCCATTCCACGCCTCCAAAAATATTAACTTAAAAATACAACTTTTACATGCTACTACTTACATATTGTACTACAGTATGTATATCTAGCCTTTATTGAGGACTCTTGTTAGCATATGGAAGACAGTGAGGAAGGGGGAGGAGGAGGAGAGGTGTGTTTGGAAGGAGAGTCCCCTTCCATTATGACAACAGTGATGACATTTCTGGGGTACTCTCATGTTTTACAGGCATACCACTAGGACCTGGTTGTGGCTCACTGCTTGCTTGTTTTACTAAGAATCTGTTTATAGACACTTGTTTTTCCCTATATTTTAACACGTCTGTCGTGAGACATCACATTGTCCCGCTATGAATGATCTCTGTTTTTCATCTACTGTATAGTCATTCTATTTTGTAAGGTTGAACTTTACCACTGACTTTCTTGGAACCCATGGTGTGACATGTATTCAGGACTTTTATGTTCAGAAACCAAAAAAGTACAAAAACAATGAAATTTTTCACAAAGAATTCAAGCGTGGTCGTCACTAGGTAGGAGACACTGGTGAACTGAAGCATGCCACGCACTCAGTCGGCCCATACGTGTATCAATAAACTTGAGCACCAAAGCAAACCTCGAGTACCGAGTCAAATTTTTCGAAGAAATTGAGCTCGAGAACCGAAAAATATGAAAACTGAGGTTCTGCTGTATACTGTACTTCCATTCATAAATACCTATGTCTAATATTTCTAGAGGTTCATTTCACCCCCTTAACTAGATAAGGGTTAGAATTCAGTAGCATTAAACCACCCTTTTTGAGTTCAAATCTCAGTTTAGTTTAACATAAAAACTATATTAAGTACTGTAATGTAGTTCAAGAATTCAAACACTGCATATTGTTTACAGTGAAAAGGGGATGATTTTATTTTTAAATATTTCGAACAATTATTTGTATCTTAGATAATTGATGAGATCAAAGACTTTGTATACTTCCTTTGATAGTTCAGGTGTTATTTAATACTATAATTGTGGTTGCTAAGCTAAGGTGTAAAGTGTTGATAATGCAGTGTGGGAGTGGTAGAAGCACTTCAACATCTGAGGGTATCTTATCTGGCTGGACACACTCGGGCTAGGCACATTATCAGGTGGGTCGCGGAACCTAAATTCAGAATACTAGTAAAATAAATGTGAATCCTCGAATTAGCAAGTGTTTTCATGATTCCAGGTAGCCCAGATAGGCTTCCTGGAAGATTTGACTGATGTTTTAGTGGACTATGTGATTTCATAGCATAGCCAAGAAGCTAAGCTATTCAATTCTAGAGATTGAAGACTCGAGACGACATCACTGTGGCCTAAATTATTTAGTTTAATAAAGAAGTGTATACTGTACATCATTTATTGCAGTAAACCCATGTTAAATTTGGATATAGCTTGAATTACTCCTGCCTTGAAAGTGTTAATAACGAATTCTGACATATTGCATTTGAATACACTAGGGTGTATTACAATATAGTGGGGGGATGTCATTGCATATGAGTCTCTAGTCTCTTGGACTGTGTCAGCAAGCAGTCTGCATTCCTAACAGTGGGCTGTGATAGTTCCCGCCACATCCATAAGAGTCGAGCTGAGAGGGCACTGAAGGCGAGTGTAACAAGCTTAAAGTTTCAAAGGGCAAGGCGCGTAGGACCCATTTTTCCCCTTCTTCCCCTCTCCCGTCTTATTATAAGTAAAGTAACAGCTCTTTATCACACTCGATGTCACAGTGGTGAGTAAGCATCCTGATTAGGGGCAATTTTTTCAAGTATAAAAGTGTGGCAGTGGGTCATGGGTATTAGAAAATAAGGCTGCAAGTTCAAAAAGGTTGGGAATCATTGGTCTAATTGATATTGAATTTACATTTTCATGTGTTTTAATAAGGTATCTTGTACTACTTTTATCCCATAGGTTGTGGCGAACGCAGAAAAGAAACCAAAGATTCCAGAGAATGCCAGCCTTGATTATGATAAATCACAAGAGGATTTCAGGTGTTCTTCTCAAAACTCCCTGGGATTGAACAGCAGTAATTACACAAAAAGTCATTTTTCAAATTCAGATTTTGGTGATAACATTTCATGTATTACCTTGGCTTCTAAGAATGCAGGAAGAATGAAATCTACAGAAACTATAAAATCCTCTAAATATGTTTCAGTAAAACTTAATAAGAGTATTGCACAAAAAATACTTGATAAGTATGCAAAAAGTAGGAAGTTTAAAAGTCAAAATAGAAAAATTTATTCAAAAGAAAAAAGTTTTGCTTGCACTCTTTGTACTTACAGATGCAGTCAGTACAGTAGACTATATGACCATATTAAAATTCATTTAATTGATAATGTGTATGTTTGCCATATTTGTTGTTTCAAGTCAAAAAGTCTACAAACTGTTAATCAGCATGCCTGTTGTCAACATAAGCGTCCATCATCTGGTGCCGATGTCAGCAAATTATCTAAAAAAAGTAATCTTCCTCCTTGTACTAAAAAAGAATCTCTTTCATGTCACTTATGCCCTTTCAGAACACTGCTTGAAGGATCTTTAAAGCGTCACATGCATTCACACATTAGAAGAAACACACACACATGTGGCAGATGTTTTTATAAATCAACTAATGTTTCAAATCTTGTTAATCATGCTGCTTCTCATGATAAGCCATTTGTTTGTGAGCAGTGTTCATACCGCTGTAAGAATAGTGCAAGATTGAAGATTCATACACGGATTCACACGGGGGAGAAACCATATTCTTGTCGGTTTTGTTCACATAGAGCATCTTTGTATGCTAACGTGCTAAGACATGAACGTGTAAGGCATCCTGATAAAATCACCAAAAGAAAACGTAAGGAATAAGATATAGTTCAGGCTTCATTGAAAGACTTCATTTCTACAACAAACTTTTACCAATTAAAAATGAGTGCTGTATACACTCAATATATGGCAGATGGAGTTGTTTTTGTTTATATAACTTTGCTTCAGTTGTACTGCATGTGCCATTGCATGTTTTGGGTTAGCTCTGCTCTGCATGGGAATAGGGACTAAACCTGTGGAAAGTATGTGCCCCTATTCTTCATAACTACTCTTTGTACACACCTCATCTCCCCTATCATACCCTGCATTCCCTACTGAGGATAACAGATCATGTGTTCTGCTCTATGTATAATGTGCATGAGGAGTATGCTGTTGTTCTGGAATTGTAGTTTTATTCAGAGGTGGTCACCAGTTGTAAATATTTTCCTGTTGCAGTATTATGATATCTGGATGAGGTTCTGGAAGTTGTTCTATTCCCCAGGGCCAGGCTTAAGAGCTTGGTCCAACAGGATGTTGCTTGAACAGCCCACATAACCACTACAGCGTAGTTGGTCTGGCACTTATTGAAGAAAACTGTCTAGTTTTTTCTTTAAGATTTCCACTTTCGTTTCAGCAATATTTCTTATACTTACTAGGAGATTATTGGACAACCATGGACTTTTGATGTACATATAGTGTTCTCTGTACCTTCTGTACCTTCTGTACCTCTGTACCTTCTCTATGGCACCTCCACTCTTCACTGGTTCTATTCTGCACTTCCTTCCATAAGTCATTTCAGTATGTTGTTATTTTACTGTGCAAATTCAGAATCTGGCCTTCCAGTTTCTTCCATGTATATAATATTTAGTATCTGTGTTTCCTTTTTAGAGAGTACATTTGGAGAGTTTTGAGATGATCCCAATAGTTTAGGTGCTTTATTGTGTATGTGTGCTGTATATTCTCTTTATTCCCTCTATTTTGGCAATCTCTCCTGCTCTAAAGGGAGAACAAAGTATGGAGCAGTACTCATGGCAGGACAGCACAAGCAATTTGAACAGTATGAGCATTGTGATGGGATCCCTGGATTTGAAGGGTAATCCATCATATAATTTTTCTAGCTGGTGTTATGTTTGCTTGGTTAAATATTAGGTTGCCAGACATTATTTCCAGATCCTTTACATGTTGCTTTCCCATCATGGGCAGATTTGATTGTGTTTTTTTTTACTCTATTTTGATAAAGTCTTCATTTTAACCATACCTAAGTAACTGGAACTTATCACTATTAAACATAATGTTATTTTCTGCTGCCCAATCAAAAAATTGATTAATATTAGCTTGTAATTTTTCTGTCTTCTACAGAAGTAACATTAAAACTGATTTTTGTCAGATGCAAAAGGATGACACGAGGCTGTGACTTGTATTTTTTTCAATATCTGCTGTGAGAATAAGGACGGCAGTTCTTGCCTAGGTGTGCTTGTGGGGATAGAGCTTTGGCTCTTTGGTCCTGCCTCTAAACTGTCAATCAACTGGTGTACAGATTCCTGAACCTATTGGGCTCTATCATATCTACATTTGAAAGTGTGCATGGAGTCTGCTTCCACCACATTCCTGCCTATTCATCATTCCATTTGTTAACTACCCTGACATTGAAAAACATTATTTTTAATATCTCTGTGGCTCATTTGAGTACTCAGTTTCCACCTGTGTCCTCTTCATGTTCCACCCATGCCTAATAGTTTCTTTGTCCACCCTGTCAATTCCTCTGTGAATTTTTGTAGGTGGTAAGGTAGGTGAATTTTGTAGGTGGTAATCATGTCTTCCAGGGATGTGAGGTTTAGCTCTCATAGCCTTTCCTCGTAACTCATACCTCTCGGTTTTGGGACTAGGCTGGTGGCATACCTCTGACTCTTCTCTAACTTTGTCTTATGCTTAACTAGGTACGTAGCTCCAGGCTGGAGCTACGTACTCCAGGACTAGTCTGACATAAGTGGTTTACAAGGTTCTGAATGATTCCTTACACAAGTTTCTAACGGCAGTTCTGATGTTGGCCAATTGAGCACATGCTGCTGATATTTTGATGTGGGTTTCTGGGGTACAGGTTCTGTGTGATATCAACCCCCATATTTTTCTATTTGACTTGCAGGATTTCAGCTCTCAGAGGGTACATTTTGTTTGGCCTCCTGCTCCCTTCACCTAATTTCATTACTTTAAACTTACTGGGTGAAACTTTAGCAGCCATTTCCTAGACCATTTCTCCAGTTTGTCCAGGTGAATTGTCCAGGTCCTGTAGTCTCTTATCTTCATCTGTCTTGATTCTTCTCATAATTTTTGCATCATCAGCAAACATTGAGAGGAACGAGTCTATACCCTCTGGAAGAACGTTTACATATATCATAAATACATCAGATGCGTCCAAGTACAGAGCCTTGTGGGACTCTGCTAATGCCATCTCGCTACTCTGATGTCTTCCCACTCACAGTTGCTCGCTATTTCGTGTTGCTTAGATACTCTCTTATCCACTGGAGCACCTTTACTTTTATTCCTGCCTATTTCTCCAACTTTTGCAAGTCTCTTATGGGGGTACTGTGGCAAAGGCTTTCTGACCCTTCTCTTTCTTGCCTAATTTTTGTTGCCTGGTCATAGAATTCTATTAAACCTGTGAGGCAGGATTTTCTGTCCCTGAACCCATGCTGGTGGTGTTACAAAACTCCTCCTCCTTCAGAAGGTCTACAAACTTTTTCCTTGTGATCTTTTCTATCACCTTGCATGGTATACAAGTTAGGGAAACTGGCTTTTAGTTCAGGGCCTCTTGCCTGTCACCTTTTTTGTATATTAGGACCATATTAGCAGTCTCTTACCCCTGTCAAAGTACACATACATTTGTTTGTCAATATCTGCTTTGTATTACAATATGTACTTTGTACTACATTGCAATCTGAGAGAAAATTGAATAGTCATCACCCTACTTTACCTGTTATTCCTATTGACCTAACCTTATGCAGTTTATTGACCATTTAAAAGTGCTAGGCTGGCTTTGTTGGTGTCTAGGAGCATTTGGCTTTTCACTTCTGGCCTAGCTAGGGTTGTGAACAAAGTTTCTTTCCACCCCTTTCTGTGGTTCTTAAGTCTGAACTGTGTTTGGTTCCTTAGATTGGGGGTTGTGTGGTTATTTCTGGGGATTGCCAATTCCTTGGTAGTAAAGGCAGCTGACCCAGCATTTTCCTGTCTCGGGTCTGGTGCCTTTTATTTTGTGGGGGTTCTACCTGGGCACAGCTCTTCCCTTGCCTTGTGAAGAGATGCCTGTCTTCTCTCCAGCATCTTTGATGCTGGAGAGAAATCCTGGTTCCTTTCCTCCTGTAGAAAAGAAATTTTTCCTCCTGGCTGAAAGAGGGAATCCTGGCTCTTTCCTGGGGTGGTCCTCTCTTGGCTGAGGGCACCAGGGTAGGGGGAGGAGCCCCTAGGTGAGTTCATGAGTCCCCCTACATATTCCTCTTCTATTCCTGACATCAAAAACCTCTTGGACTCATTACTGAAACCTGTGCTCCTTTTGGGCAGTTTTAACTATCATGTCAACTGGGGCTGATCTGACAAATACCGAGGCTGTCTTTCAGAGCCTTTCGTCCTCTCTTCTCCATCATCTCCTGAATTCTGGGGAGCCAACTTGGGTCGTCTCATGTTCTCTCACCCTTTCATGTATTAATCTCACCATGCTGCTGCTCCATTTATGTATAACTAACAGGCCAGGGTGCAGCCCAGCCTGGTCGGGGACTGGGCTGTAGGGACATTGAGCCCCGAAGTCATTGCAAGATAACATGAAATGTTCTCGATGACCTCCATAAGTGATCATTTCCCCATCCTTGTAAACCTCTTTTCTTTGCATTCTCTCTCTCCCTTGGTGGAGGTTTAATAAGGAGAAATGGAATCTTTTTCATCCTCCATGCAGCTCTTCCCAACATGTTCGATTTACTTTTCCCTCATGCCCTCCTTTTTCATGACATCCTTATTAGTTGCTGTCATCTGCTCTATTCCTTGCTTTATATTCCAAGGCACAAGGAAGTCCTAGGTGGAATTAAGAATACTTGGGCTGTATGCTTTAAGTGTGCAGCTTGGAAGACACATGCTGACAAACACCTGAATCTTTTTATTTTGTTTCAGAAAGAAAGTGCAGTGGCCCCTAGGGCTATCCATACAGCTAGAAATGAGAGTTGGAATCTAAAGTCTCCCTGATTACTGTTGACAACCCCCTCTCCTTCAGATCTGTTAGAAAATCTGCAAGACTGCAGGTAAATTTCTTCACGACATATCGCCTGTCCTTAATCTCCATGGTTCCATCGTGGCATATCCTGCATAGGTTGCAAACAAATTGGGTTGCATTTTTCCATCCGTTAACTCTGGTACTCATCTTCCTCCTCCATTCCTTACTCGAAAAACCCTTCTTGAATCTAGCTCTTGGACTTTCACACTCACCTACCTCCCCCCAATAATGATTCACATTCTCTCTCTAAATTTGCCTTGGCCCTCCACAGTTCTATAGCAGCGAGCTCAAACTGGTATTCATTATGAGATGTTTAGTTATTTCTTTCCATGCACATTTAAGCATCTGCTGAACACCTATAACTGGACTTGGGAGGTGACCTCAGTCCCCGAGGACTAGCTTGAGGCAGTTGTTTTTTCCATTTCGGAAACCCAGTACTCGAGGGACTTTCCCCAGAAGATTTTCACCCCATTGCCCTGAATTTGTCTGCAAATTTTTGGAACACATGGTACATCTTGTGTGGTTCTTACATCATCTTTGCCTCTCAATTTGGCTTTTGCAAGTAACTGATATCTTGATGGACTTGGAGGTCTACATGTATCTTTGCTGTGAATACCTTTGTTGCCATTCTTTTTGACCTAGAAAAGGCTATGAAATCACCTGAAGATAGAATATTGTATCCCAATTACATTATTTTGATCATTGCAATGTACCACACTTTTATTTATTTAAATTTTATTTACTCATTTATTTAAATTGAGATTCGGTTTCATTTTGACTTAAACAATATGAAGGTGTTCAAGCCAATGTTCTTAGCACTAAATTCCTGGTTGCCCTAAATGATCTTCCTTCCAGCATTTTCGAACCATCTGCTATTGTGGTGACAGTTTCCCTTTTCCCCCCTGTTTAGTGCCTCCTTTTGATAATTACTTACTTCCCGTTTCCCCAGTACTGACTCCAACTTGCCTGAATTGGTAAGAGGAATTTGTTTAAGAGGGGGGAAAAAGTCCTATTGCAAATGTTTTCTATTGAAACTTTTACCACAATACATTACCCCTTTTATGCCCCAGGCAACACATCCATGACCTCTTACCTAGGGCAAGTACTCCCTACAACAGGTTGTCCAATGACCCGAACAAGACTCCAAACACTATGGGAACTCTTAGAAGCCTGTCACAACAGTAGACTAGATATGGAAACAAACCTTAAATAATACACATGTAGAACTTTGCAATGCCAAGAGTGGAAATCTAGCTCTTAAGGTGGTTGTTTACTCAAGTTTATTTCAAGGATCAGTCAAACCATACAAATGTTAATTAGCTTTTAATTAAGTGTAGTTACAGGATGAGCGCTACGATTGTGCTCATGGTGTCCTATAACAGCTTTGGCCTCCACCACCACCAACTTGTTCCAGCCATTTTCCTCTGTTTGCAAAAGTGAATTTATTATTTCTTCAACAGCTTTGTTTAGTTGATTTAAATCTATGACCTCTTGTTCTTTAAGTTCCAGGTCAAATTCTTTCCTATCAATTTTATAGATTCCCATTACTTTTGTACAGTGATCATAATGCCTCTTTCTTGTAAAAGAAATTAATTGGACTAGTAATTTAAACTATAAATTTGTAATAGGCTTTAAATGTTTAAACACTATGTACAGTATAATGTTTTAACATTTTACTTTAAACATTTAAAGTTAAAATATAAAGACATATGCAATATGAAAATTATGATTAAACTAGTTAAAGAAATGCTAAAAAATGTAATTCTGAAAATACAAAAAAAATCAATATTTCATTTAAATAGTCTATAAGTATATTATTAGGCCTAGATATCTAACCCACAACAGAAGATTAAGAAACAATGGATGTTTGAGTCCATCCTGGACCACTATAAAGTCATGGCGGAGAAAACCATCTAAGGGATGAGACAGATGCATGGCGAGTGCAAGAATAAGCATATGAAGGAAGAATAAGTGGAAAATGGAAAAAAATAGAGAATCAAAGTTTAGAAGGGAAGGAAAAGGATAAAATGAAATTGCAAGAAGCCAGATGCCAAAGAGAATGTCTAGTATCAAGAGACAAAGGCTAGAGGGGGCAAAGCTAGGTCTGAATCACATTTCTTGACAAATGTGACCTGACCTAGCTTTGCCCTCTCTAGGACCTTTTTTTCTCTATTACTAGACAGACATTCTATTTGGCATCTTGCAGATTTCCTTTATATTCTTTTCCTTACCTTCTAAACTTTCTTTCAAGTAATTCTCTGTATTCATACCTTTCATCTTTCTACCCTTGTATTGTTTTCTCTTCCACTGTCTATTATACAACTTGTTATATCGGTCTGGCTGGACCGTTGTTACTTCATTTTCTGTTGTGGATTGCATATAAACTCTTTACTTTATTGCAATACATCAACTGCATTGGGCCTAGCATGGCAGATAATCAGTTAAATATTCATCTGAAAGGTGAAGATGTGTGAAACACAGGCGCTTTCATAATAAAGTTGTAAAAGTAAACTGTAAACATTATTAACCTGCAAACTGAAAAATGACTTCTCAAATTTATTCTGCATGGGTAGGCCAATGAACCTATATCTTAGACATGGATTTTTAAATGCCATTGAAACTACTGCATAAGTTTTTTTTTTTTTACCTTAACTTTATTTAACTGTTGCCAGTCTAAGTTTCCATGGATGAAGCTGTTAAATCTACAGTGGGCGGTGGTGCTGTCAGGTCTATAATTTCTTCAAAAATGCATGGATCATTGTCTCGTGATGGAGAATTATCTAGTAGCAGTGTTTGCTTCAGCTGGTGCAGTGAAGTAACAAGAACATGTAGTTGTTTTCGACGTAAGCCAACCTTCTCTTCCAGCTGATCTCTCTTTGACTGTAAGAAATGGAACCATACATCAAATAAAGTTACAATACATGGTTTTTACGCACACACACACATGAAAGTGTTAACAGAGCCGCCACCACCACAGGGGAGGACAACACACCAACAGATGATTGGCAGGGCACATATGGCTTAGTCCTGTTACTGCCCTTCATACCAACAACAATAGATAAATGTCTCAAAGGATTCTCGGCACAAGATACAATGAAAGGAGGTTTCCTTTGCAGGTTAGTTATTATTGAGGACTTGCTAAAGAATTATGAAGAAAAAGTAATTAAATTAGATCAAGAAAATGAACGTCACAAATGAGTTTTGTAATTTAAAAGGAAGTATTTTCCAGCAAAGCAAGGAAATTACCAGCTTGATTAATAAGGTAATGAGACAGGAGGCACAAATCAAGGAACTAGTGGAAGAAATTGTGGTATGGAAAATAAGGATGGATGAATTTGAAGAAATTAAACAGGAAAATACTCATATGGTGAAAGTGCAAACATGGAATTGGGCCAAGAGACTCTTCATTAAAAGCTCAAATAAAAGGGGCTAATAAAGGACTGGAAAAGTATAAAGAGGAAATAAAAGAAAATCAAGGAAGTATGTATGGAAATCAAAATCAGATATGACTAACAAGAAGCAGACATTAGACAAGCAATTAGAAATGAACTGTTACCAACAGAAAATTAGTACATATTAAAAAAATTGCAGATAAAATCCCATAATTTTTTGGCATTTAGAAAAGGAAACACCATCTAGGATAGAGCAGAAGAGGAAAAAAGTCAGAAGGTCTCACGACAAAGGAAAATGTCACTAATATTAGGGAGATAGGCAAATATGAGACAAGAATTCACCTTAAGGGTGACACTTAATTGAGTGAAAAATGATGGAAGGCTTAGGAATGCTGGGAACGGCAGGATGAGGATGGGAAAACTAGGCATTAAGACAAGACCTCTCAAAGGAAGACAGAAGTTAAATTTAACATTGATGAAGCAAAACATTAAAATGGAGACTAAAGACATTCTTTTTTCTATAAGGTGATGGGGACTGAAAAAGTCTGTGAAATGATACATAAAAACACACCAAGAAAATCATTAGAGGAAGGGGGTTGTAAAAGTCAAAGTGAGAGGGAACATGTTCCTAAAAATTTTATACACCGACATAGATGGAGCAAAATAAAAAAAAAAAAACGGAACTAAAAAGATAATTCAGCTTGAGGTCCCAGATACTGTCGCACTAACAGATAGGAAACTTAAAATATTCTAAATGAGGTTATATTCAGTTTGGAGAAGGAAAAAAAACTAGGAAAGGCGGAAGTGTAGCTGTGCTGGTGAAAGAACCCAAAGGTAAGAGTTAATACTCGACACACCAAGAAAAGTTCACGTGGCATTGTAGGTTTGGAATCAAGATGACAAAACTGATACAATAATCTTAAATGCCTACAGCCCACCAGCAAGCAGCACAGACAAAGGAGGAACTAAACAAATGCGAGGGCCTCATAATCGTCATGAGAAATTATATTAATAGCAGATAAAGATAAATCACGATTGTTGGTAATGGGGAACTTCATCTTTAAAGCAATTGACTAGGAGGCCAATGAAACAAGAACGCAGGACATTTGGACGGTCAGATTTGTAAATCTCATCCTGGAAATTAAGGATATTACATTACATTAAGTAGGTCACGAGAATGAGGGAAGGCAATGTTTCATCAATACTGGATTTAATATTCAACAGGAAAGAAAATTAGATATTTGACATTCAGTACCTCCCTCCCTATGGATAATGTGACCATATCCTGTTGGAAATTAAATATGCAATGCAATATAAAATCTAAAAGACAATGAGGAAATTGAAATAGTTGAGAAACTTGACTTTAAGAGAGGACACTATGGGCAACTTTGCAAATTCTTTAATTTAACTGGAAAGCCTTGTTGCTAGAGAAGTAAATGAGATGTATGCCAAATTCTGTGAAATATACAATAAAGGCACCAACAAATTTATATCAAACAGTGATGCAGAGCCAGAAAACAGGATTGGTTCAACAAATTGAGAGGTGGGGGCCAGAATGGAAAAAACAAGAAAATGGGTACAATATAGAAAGAGGCTTAACCCTCAAACATACCAGCACTACAGAAAAGCAAGAAACAAATACACAATAGTGAGGAGAGAGGCAGAAAAGAACTTTGAAAAAGGGTAGCAGACAAATGTAAAAAGATCCAGGCTTTTTTATTATAAATTCATTAAAAGCAAGCTGCATGTAAAGGACAATATCCAGAGATTTAGAATGGGGAAAAAAGATTCATAGAAAACAAAAATGTACAAAATACTAAATTCGTTATTCTCGAATGTTTCACCAAGTGTTTTTTCACTTTTTTCTCTTTAGTTGCAACAGTATGTGTGTTGAACAACATTAGCAGCAGAAGTGTGTGTACCAAATTAATAGTCTCGGTCTGTCAAAAGGATGAAGGGTATTGATAAAGAGTTTTGAGTTCAGATATGAAGGGAAGGCAGAGCACAGTGCTAAATGTGTTGGATGCAGGTTTAGGATGAAATAAATTTTGTTTAGCTTGAGAATAGCCACAGTTGATAAAATGTGAGTGCTTTGCAACTAGTGGTTTCAGTGCTTTGCAACCAGATTAGTACAGTACTGTACCAGAAATGAGAGGGCTCACCAGTGAGGACAGTTTATAGGAACTCATCTTCACAATCTTAAAGAAACAAAGGGCATATGATCACCACATAAATGATCCAGAGTAGAATAAACAAAGTGAACAAAGGAAGTTTATTTAAATAAAAAGGAGGTAGGGCAAGGGTAACATCAGAGGGAGCTGGACAAGCAATTTTAGATAGATGGAAGTTCTCATTCCCTGTATGAGTGGTTGGCATGTGGAATGCAATTAAGGAATAGGTCATTGAAGCCACAAAATTAAGAAAAATATGATTAAAATAATGTTGAGAGGGGCAATCAGTTTGCCAGGTATAAATGGCTAGGAGGCCTGGCATATAGAGCTAAACCTCATTCCCCATAGTCACTGTAGGTAAGCATAAAAGATGAATGACACGTCAACATATGTTGAAGTGTTGTGTTGGTGAAGCGTTTTGATTTTTTGCCAAGAGTGTGCACGGAGTGTTTCCAGTTAGTTAACTGATGTTGATGCCCTGTCCAGTGGGTTGAGGCCTTGTCTCTCTTTACACCTAACAGGTGGTGGGCCTGGAGGACTACTGCAAAAGATTTGAAGCGACATTATTATTGTGTTAGTTATTGAATAACGTGTTGTGACACGTTAAATTTATTGAATAAACCTATATTTTGCTAATTACACTTGTCTTTGTTATCATTCCTCATTCTGTAGTACTGCCCCATTTTATATCACATTCTAATTGACCTTAAGAGAGACTTTAGCTGGCTCAGGCTCCAGCCTATAACCCCAATCACCTTTATATAAATATTGGTGCGAGGACCCATCCACTACCTGCTATATTCGTTGTGGGTGAGTTGCATAGTGAATAACCCAGTGAGAAAAAGGTTTTATTACATTATGGAAGTGAAAACTACCCTGGTCTTCACCTCCATTCGTAGTACTGAACCTCTGGCATTTTGTTCACGCCTCTCACCTTCCAGATTGCCAATTTCACATCAGGCTTTCCTGCATGGGGCCTGTGTGTTTAAAGTCAACCCAGAAGAAATAGCTCGCATCTGGCTTGCCAATTTGGGGCTAAAGCACTTAACAGTAAATTTCCCCACAGCCAGGTGGAGTAGAATTTCACTTCTGGTGCCCAATGTGGGACCTGATAACTTAGGCTCAACAGTAAGTAGATTTCCATTTCCAGCCAGATGGAATAAAATCTCTCGACTGCATAATCAACTACAGCATTAGTTCATTACAATAATGTGTGTTAATATTAACAGTAAATCCTCACCTTCAAAGAATGCAATTGCTGCGTCAAGTGTGCCAACTTATTGGCAGTGTCGGAGCGCGGGGGATGTTCCTTTATTAGCCTTGCAAGTGCATCATACTCCAATCTGTTTCGTCTCACCTGCCTAGCTTCCTCCAGTTCTTGTTTGGCTGCCCCAATTGCAATGCATGCTTCTTTTACATTTGTGTTTGTTTCCTCTCTAGAAAAATTAAATACAGGCAGTAATTACTAAATCTGTTTAGGTCATGGCCAAACAAGGGAGGCATCTCCAATCCCCTATGATACTAATGTCCCAATTTAAGCATTACCCTATACAGGTACTCTGAATATTTTGAACAAGTAGTACACAAAATTATAATTTAATGTGTATACCAATCAGTACCTGTTAGTCAAATATTAAAATGCCATACAATAACTCAATATTTTGATAAATGCTATTACAGTACTGGACTGCAAATATGTTTCCATCACATACCTGAAGACAACTAAGTGAAATTTTACATTTTATAAAATACTGTACTATATTGGAGAACCTGTTGGAATAAATGGTATTAGTGACTAAGGCAGTGAGGACAATAGTGGAGTACAGGAGATACTGTAATGCGTTTAGGGAGCATAATGAGTGAGTGTTTAAGTGTTCAGGAAGTATAGAAAGTTCACACACCAAAAGGAGTACAGGGGTACAGTACAGTTTAATGTGTATAAGGAGCATAACCAATACAGAGTGCATAATCAGTCAAGATTACAAATCTAGATTATAATAAATGCAAGAACAATAATTATGAAAATGTCAAAGTTCAGAAAATAATGTACATTACAGCAAAATGAAGTCATAGAATATAGGGAGTGCAAAGAGTAATGTACCAAATAATAACAAATTCAGGAAATTTAACGAGTTAAAAGTGATACGAGTACAGTACTGGGAATATGAATTAAAGTATAATAGTTCTAAAAAATATAATGAGTAGAGTGTATAATGAGTACAGATATACTGTAATAGTTGTGGGATGGGGGTTCTTTCCATAATATATATTTATAATAGAGAACAAATGATAAAACTATGAACTTTTGGCACAAGTGGATGTCTTGTAGCCAGTGTTGTGTGGGCTACCCGTTTGCTAAAGATATTGTCAAAACAAGCTAACTTTAAAAAAGAAACACTTGCTCTTTAGACAAAGAATTCACTTTGGTCAAAAACACAAGTACAATTTCTTACAGAGAATGAGAAATTACAAAATCATGCACAGGAAAAAACAAGCAAGTAGGAAATCATTAGCAATACATGAAGATTGGACAAAAAAAAAAAAAAAAAAAAAAAAAAACAGGAAAGGTGTAGTAACTGAAAGAACTCCTTTGCTGCTCTACAACAAATGCTGTTTTTATGAAATACTGTAGTCTAGATCCTTGGTCATCTTACCTTGGTTCAAGGTGTTATGAAAAACATGGCCAATAAAAGTTAATTGCAGGCAACATGTTAGGCATGTCAACTCATAATTCTGAAGCAAGAATAAATAGAATGTGGGTGTACAGGTCTATGTGGACAGGATAAGCGATTTAGTAGATCAAACACCCTTTTTTTTAATGGTTCATCCAGCCCAGGAACCAGGAATAGTGTGTAATAGAGATGGACAATACAGTATACAGTAGTTAAGATGGCTATGTTCTCGACTCAAAATCAGGAATCTCGGGTTCAATTTCCAGGCAGGACAAAAATTGGACAAGTTTCATTCTCTGTTCACCCATCAATAAATAGATACTGTACCCATGAGTTAGGCAACTCGGGAAAACATTCCAGGAAAAGACATTAGTTTGACATCTGGGGGAGAGACCTTGATACAAGCCTATAGTATGTATACACGCGCGCGCACACACACAGACATATGGCAGACATAAGAGAGATGAAGAAAGTTAATGTTAAACAAATCTCTTGAGCAAAAGCCACCTCAAGCAATGGGCTTGTGCAAAATGGAGGAACAATCACCTTAAAAAAAATAATTTAGCAAAACACTGACAACCTAAATAGATTATACCTGCCCAAGCACAAAAAATATAGAATTTTTAGAAATAAAGATAGTCTACAACAAAACTAATGCCACGAGAATTAATTACATTATAATACCTGAGTAGCTCATAGTGCTGGATTTCTTCACGATTCATATCGACAATCGATCTCCATTTTAACGAAGAATGCTCAATAGCAGCCAGTTGTGTCAGAAGACGATCGTGTTGATTCTGGCTAAATATAAAAAAAAATTAAATATCAAACATTTAATATAATGAAATGTCCTTTGTATCTTAGGTCCCAAGTATTTACTGTATTTGTTTTCTGCATCTCTAAAAAAGTATAGTCATTTTCTAGTGAAGCCTGTTCAGTAACACCTTGGTGCTTTTGTGCTGGTACTGCTAGGCCTTACAATTGCACTGTGCCTCTAAAATTCACATGGAAGTACAGTACCTAACATTACATTCTGCTCAAAGCCATGCATCATTCCCTAGAAAAATCTTATGTATCCAACAGGTTAAGAGTTAAACAGACTCTTGTACATGTTGTACACTGATATACTGTACCATACATTTTTATCCTTTAACAATTTACTCTAGGACTAAAAATTCTTTTGGTCGTGCCTCTGTCTTTTCCAATTTCCATTTCAGTCACGTAAATCATTGTGGATTTTACCTTTCCTACTTTTATAATAAAGTAAAAGCAGTAAAGAAAGGCAAGTATTTCAACATTTGATATGCTATAAATTCCTAATGAACCCTGTCCATCACACACAAGCATCAAAATCAATTTTGCAATTATTGTACACTGCCACATTCCCCAATATTAACCATATTTTATTACCCCATTCAGATCTCCCATTTGATCTGTTCACCTACCTTACTGGTCAACCCACTTCCCCATTCATATTTACCTTTTTTTATCTATACTGTACATGCACCAGTTTATCCTGACATCATAATGCTGCCACTTTCTCCAAAACAACACTAGTCAATGCAGGCTGCAAAATATTTTAACAATACCCTAAAAAATGACAATATATCCTATACAGTACTGTACGAGCTCTTATCCAAAGCCTGCCAAATCAAATATTTGGGTTATCCAGCCAAAATCACCTCCACATACCTTTCTGGCAAAACTTTGCCATATCTGGACAGAAATCCAGATAACAGGTTTCATAAATTTTCAAGAACTACACATTTAAAAACCTACAGTATCAAACAAGACAAACTAAGGGGAAGTTTCCATTGTAAATTATACTTCGACTTATAGTGTGTAGAAATTAACATTATGTTTGTGGTACAAAAAATTGTGAATATGGTCTGTTTGGACTTCACCAATGCTTATTGGTGAAGCTTATCTGGATATCTGGTTTATCTGGTCAGGAGCCTTCCCATATAGTCCGGATAAGCGAGCTCAGACAGTATGAACATTCAGAAGCAAACCTTGTTTTGCTCTTATAATAAAGAAAATACTGTATATACTGTACCTCTCTTGGGGTGAATCGTCTGTTGAACACCATTTTATGAAATGCTTCATGAACATCATCATTACACGAGCATCACCTGTGCCATCTCCATCGATCATCAATCGGCGCCGGATAATCTCTTCTGTAAGCCAGGCAAGATTAAAATCGGTTAAAATAATCATGCAACAGGGGACTATATTTACAGAATTAGCACAGTACAGTATTATGCAATAGGGGTGCCTCAGTATTTTGGGCAAGACTAAATAAGTGCTAGTAGTAACTAAATCAGAGCAAGAGGGTTGCCAGAAAAAACCAAGGAGTTACAGGAGTACTTGTGGCAGTTACTGCACTTAATTATTGTGCACCCCACACACCCTGTACATTAAGGTGTTGTACACAGGCTATTCTCTGTACAACAGAGAATAGCCTGTGGATATTCTTAGTTCCCCTGGGACTGGGATATTCCCTACCACTGTGTAGCCACCGTGGCGCAGTGGTAACATACTCGCTCCGAGCTTCGCAAGCAATTTGGCCTGGGTTTGTATCCTGGCCAGAAAGGATTGACTAGGAGCCAATCCTTAACTGTCTGCCTCAGTTCACCCAGCATTGAATGGGTACCTGGGTTGTTAAACGACTTCGCAGGTCATATTCCAAGGAATATTAAAATCAAGAACCTGCTCAAAATGCTATGCATGCTAGTGACTACAAAAATGAAGTGCATGCATATTTTTATATTATATTATATTATATAATATTATATAAATATAATCCAGTGCTGAAAATTGTTAGGCAGTACAAAATTGATTCCAATGAGCAAAATTTTATATTAAAGAAATGCAAGCAGTGTTCCATTACTAGATTACTGTACAAGTATTATGATTAAATAAATAGTGTACAGATAAATTGTGAAAACCAATGTTAAACATACAATGAAGTTTGATTAAGATCTTATTTGTGCTTTCTATAATTAGGCTACCACAAACAGGAAAGTTACAAAGCCACCACTGTATGTTCCTTACCAAACAGCAAGTACAGTATTTATATTTTGTTATACAGTTTATAACTAAAGTAAAGGCAGAGGTGCAGCTGTCCCTTGAGATCTGCTTATTTATTTTCAGTTGTATGGCACCATACAACATCTGCACATTATTTGTCATTTGTTTCACTCCATTAAATGTCATCTGTAAGGGGGTATTCTTGTCTCATTTGCCTATAGGAAATGCTTAGGAATGCCTGGAAAATGGCAGAATAATGTGTATAGGACACTTTGGTCATTAAGGCGAGACCTCTTAAAAGAAGATAGAAAAGCTAAAATTAAACCTTGATGAAGCAGAATGTCTAAATGAGTAGGAATGAATTGATCAAATGCTTTTGTGAAGTAGTTACTTCATTAGCAAGTGTAACTCCTGTCCTCACAATTGTACATTACTCTCATGTTCTTTGTACACATTCTTTTGATATAAATTTGAAATAAATTTTTTTTTTTTCCTTACAAGGTAATCTTGAGATGATTTCAGGGCTTAGCGTCTCTGCAGCCCGGTCTGCAACCAGGCCTCCCTTTTTGTTACACATCCCAAGGAAGCAGCCCGTAGTAGCTGTAACTCCCAGGTACCTATTTACTGGTAGGCAAACAAGGAGCATCAGGGTGAAAGAAACTCTGCTCATTTGTTTCCGCCTCCGCCAGGATTGAACCCAGAACCTCGGGACTATGAAGTTGAAGTGCTATTCATTCAGCTGTCAGGCCCTAGGTGATGGTGATTAAGGAATCAGAGGCCTTGCCTTGAACTATATTCAATCCTACCTTAGTGACAGACACCAATATCTTGCCATTAATGACATAAACCTCTCCCACTCTACCACTAACTGTAGGAATGCCACAGAGCAGCATCCTAGGACCTCTCCTATTTCTTATACAAATCAATGATCTGCCTAATATCTCTAACATTCTTAAACCTATATTATTTGCTGACGATACTCATCTACTCAGACCCCAACCCACACACATTATTTAATGTTGCAAATGATGCATTAAAAAAAAATCCATTTATGGAAGTCAACCAACAAACTCACTAAACATAGAAAATACCTACTACATTTTATTTGGAAACAAATCAACAATTGCAATTCAGCTTCTGATAGACAATGTTAACATCAGCAATAAAATTGATGGAAAGTTCCTTGGCCTATACTTAGACAAGAGACTCAACTTGACCACCCACATACAACACATAACGAAGTTTCAAAAAGGGTTGATATACTCTAAAAATCGGATATTATGTTCCAAACTCTGCTCTCCTCACTATACTAAATGCTAATCTATCCCTATCTTACATATGGTATCTGTGCAAGGGGTTCATCCACTGCAAACTACCTCAAGCCCATCATCACTCAGCAAAAAACTGCTAACAGAACAATAACAAACTCTGCTTTCAGACAACACTCAGCCCCATTTAAATTCCTGTTTAAATTCCTAAACATGCTAAACAATGTGAATAACTCCAACATTGCCATTTACAAAAGCCTGTTCTTAAATGTAAACCCTGTTCTGAAATTCTACCTGGACAGATGTAATAGAACCCATAATCACCACACCAGAAAAAAATTTCTCTGATATGCCAAGAGTCGAATTTAATCTGTAAACACTACTCAAAGGGACCTAGTTAATGGAACTCGCTCCCTAACAAATTGAAAAGCTGTCAAACTTTTGCCTTGCTCAAAAATAAAACCAAAAAGTACCTAATTTCATCTTCATAGTTTCCTACCTAGTGCTTTAAACTTGCAATGTATTTAGTGCTACCTAATCACCCAATATTTATACCTAAGCCATATAACCTCACCACTGTAATCATTGTTATCTTATATCATGGTTGTTAGGTTGAACACATATTTTACTGCATTGTACATTGAAATAATCCTAAAATTATGCTACAATGTACCTGTTAATAACTCAAATTTTAATGTACCTACTAATCTTTGTCAAATTTTCTTACAATGTACTTGTTAAAATGCTTAAACATTATCTGTTAGATTAAGACCTACCCAAAATGCTATGTGTGTGTTAGTGGTTTTACAAGAATGTAAAAACATCAATGCTATGTACCCTCATAAACCCATGGGATAGATGTTCATGGTAATGACACGAAGTGTAAACTATGTGGTATGTTAAGGTCTCACACCCTTGCCCATTATATTCTTGATTGTCCGTTGATTAATGTATATAGAAACACTGAGATAAGGACTGTTCCTGAACAAATAGCCTGGATGTGTCACAACGGAAAGGTTGATGATATTCTTGAGAGATAAGAATTTTGCACCAAGATTGTAATATTTTGTTGAATTATCTGCAGGTGTCTTGCAAATTGTCTATACAGTATACCTAGGTCATAAAAGTATTTATGTGTACGTCTGATACCATACTACTTGTGAGGGAGGAAATGTATATTTTTACCTCTCAGAATGTTTGGTAATGTGTTTATTTGTGATGTGTGTCTATGTATATATTAACACGTTGTACTGAATGGGGTGAGAATAGCTTGAGCTACCTCATCCCTTTGTGTGTATTTTACCTCAATAAACTTATTTCAATTTCTCATAAACCCAATGTGCCTTCGTTTATATATTATATTTATATATAATATATATTATATATATATATATATAATTATATAGTATGATATATATATATATATATATATATATATATATATATATATATATATATATATATATATATATATATATATATATATATATATTATATAATATATATATTATATAATATATATATTATATAATATATATATATATATATATGAGACACACACACACTATATATATAAATAAAATTAATAAATACTGTACAGGTAAATAAATAAATGATAGGCAAGCCTGTGAAATGGTATGAAAAAGCAAATCAACAATATCATTAGAGAAAGTGGGAGTAAAGAACAAGGGGTGACAGCACATGTTCATGAAAATCTTATATACTGTACAGTACTTACAGATGAAGAGAAAAATACTGGAGCTAAACTATATACAGCTCACGATGCCTGATACTTTTGCAATAACTGGGATGAAATGCAAAGATATTTTAAAGCAAGTTGTATTACCGAGGGGCTACTCAATTTGGAGAAGAGACAAATATTAGGAAAGGTAGAGGCTGGTTAAAGAACACCTAAAAAGGTAAATGAATTCATGACAACACATGAGAAGTTGGTTTAATGACACTGTTGGACCAAGCTCCGAATCCCCATAACCTGGCCTGGGGTCCGCGTATGTGGATTAGAAGAACTCCCAGAACCCCATCAAAGTACAATATCAAAGACTGCAGTCTTTGCATCAGCATTTACAACAATCTCAAAAATGAACCTCAACTTTGAATAGGAAGCAGCAGTCAAATTGCCTTTGTCAATATCTTGACAAAAATCATTTTATATGTGATATGCTGCCAGATTAGCTTATGCTAGGATGGAGTGAGAAATAAAAGCTTTAAAATCTGCTGGCAAAAAGTTAAGTGGCACATAATTGGTTCATGAACTGAACCCAAAATTCAATAACCTGACAACAATAGTTTCCAAGTTAAACAATTTACCTATGTGGTGAGCTAGTTACAGTTTTATTTGCTTATCATGCAACCACATAACAGCCGACTAACTCAAGTACGTATTTATTAATTAGTAAGTGAAGGTGAACAGAAGCATTAGGTGATATGAAACGTGCCCAACCATTTCTGTCCCGCCCGGCATTCCAGAGTCGAAAACGACCCCCAAGCTGCATTACAGAGCCCTTTTAACACTGTTCGTATACACTCATCCTACTACTGAAAAATAATGTACAGTATATCCTATCTACAGATCTATACTACTACCTACCTATCCTATACTACAATATATCCTAGCCTAACAAATAGATTATTTCAAATTATGTAGTGAAATTTGCTAAAAACGCTCCGGAACATTTTATCAACAACACGGCATGCCAAATGTCCTTACGATAATATCCGTAAATTGTACACTTTTTTTTTTGTCGTGGCGTCTCGGAAATATTAATGAGAGTATTACCTACCATCCCCCATCGTGGCAGGAGTATCCAAAGTAGGTATAAACAGCGTCAAAACTTAACGTAACCACTCTCTCCCACGCCTTGGCCCACACTGCTCCCTCACGCTTCCAGGGTTACCAGATCCAAATTGCTGAAAGTAGCGAGCTGACGGTCTAAAAGTAGCGAATTTGTAATAAAAGTAGAAAACATTTTTTTGAGTGAATGATACGCGTTTCAAAGAAATATATTTTGATATATAGAGTACACTACACGATGTTAATTGATTTATTAATATTATTTCTGCACATACACACACACACATTTTATATTTATATATATATATATATATATATATATATATATATATATATATATATATATATATATATATATATATATATATATATGCAGAATAACCACATATGAAAAAATAGAAAATGCTTAACGCGTTTTCGGCTAATTCGCCTTCATCAGAGCAAAGTAGAAATCAAACAAAGTTGATTCTACTTTGCTCTGATGAAGGCGAATTAGCCGAAAACGCGTTAAGCATTTTCTATTTTTCATATGTGGTTATTCTGCATACTTGGATCAGTGTTTTTGTGATCATTGTTGCATATATATATATATATATATATATATATATATATATATATATATATATATATATAGTATATTTTGGTAGCAGTCTTTCCTGTAGACATATATTATTAAATATGACCGAAAAAGTAAGATTAATAATTCTAACACGAATTTTCTCAATCTTTCGTACATTACGCTTCACTGTTGGAGGTAAATCAAAAATCACTTCTCCAAAATTCATTTTTATTTCTAGTCTGACGCGACACGGGCGCGTTTCGTAAAACTTATTACATTTTCAAAGACTTCACAAATACACAACTGATTAGAACTTACGTCTCTCTGATATTATATCAACATTTGAGTGAGGTGGGAAGGGTGATGTGGCATTAACACAAGACAGAACAGGAGGGGATATTAATAGGGTATTAAAAGTATCAACACAAGACAGAACAGAAACAATGGGTATTGAATAGAAGTGTTTGTAGAAAGCCTATTGGTCCATATTTCTTGATGCTTCTATATTGGAGCGGAGTCTTGAGGTGGGTAGAATATAGTTGTGCAATAATTGGCTGTTGATTGCTGGTGTTGACTTCTTGATGTGTAGTGCCTCGCAAACGTCAAGCCGTTCAAATCATCGATAGATACAGCGATAGCAGGCGGCTTGACGTTTGCGAGGCACTACACATCAAGAAGTCAACACCAGCAATCAACAGCCAATTATTGCACAACTATATTCTACCCACCTCAAGACTCCGCTCCAATATAGAAGCATCAAGAAATATGGACCAATAGGCTTTCTACAAACACTTCTATTCAATACCCATTGTTTCTGTTCTGTCTTGTGTTGATACTTTTAATACCCTATTAATATCCCCTCCTGTTCTGTCTTGTGTTAATGCCACATCACCCTTCCCACCTCACTCAAATGTAGATATAATATCAGAGAGACGTAAGTTCTAATCAGTTGTGTATTTGTGAAGTCTTTGAAAATGTAATAAGTTTTACGAAACGCGCCCGTGTCGCGTCAGACTAGAAATAAAAATGAATTTTGGAGAAGTGATTTTTGATTTACCTCCAACAGTGAAGCGTAATGTACGAAAGATTGAGAAAATTCGTGTTAGAATTATTAATCTTACTTTTTCGGTCATATTTAATAATATATATATATATATATATATATATATATATATATATATATATATATATATATATATATATATATATGTATGTATGTATGTACACTTATATGCTGTGCTTCCGATTTTAACCTGGTATGTTAAATGGGATACTTGTTGTGATTTGTGTATTTGTACTCACTGAATTTGTGCGCCCCTTGAGGGACTTGAAGTAGAGTGGGGGAGGGGGTAGAAATAGCCTAAGCTACTCTATCCCTTTGAGATGTATTTTTTTATTATCTCAATAAACATACTTGAAGTGGACTTTAATGTTTTTTCGGCAGCTTTATTTCCTTAGTTTCCGAGATGTTTTCTTTACCGTGTATGTTGTAATAAACTATTTCTATATTTACAGTTGTTTCTCCCTGTGAAGATTATTAAACAATGGTGATTATAAGGGCCTGGAAGTTCAGCTTGGCCAGGGCCGTCAGCAGCCCTTGGGCCCGCCCGGGCAGCACCCAGTCTTTAATTTGGCACCTTTGTGGCACCTTTGTGGGACCTTGGTATAAGCCTAACATGTATATATACACTGGCTGCCTGTCCCCCTACACAATGATTTATTATTACCTAATATTTTATCATTTAATTTAAATATTAAATAAAATAATTTATTTAATTATTATAGTAAGTACTTAATAATTTAATAATAAGTAGTAGGTACATAAAAATGATTAAAGAGTACAGTTTAGTCAGGAGATTCCTAGATTGGAATTCACTACCAAATTTCAATATATCCAAGTATTTTTAGTGTGAAATGCTGTTATTACTGTATATGCATAAACTGCTGTTTTAATAATATTACGCTTAACCACTTGGGTTGGACGGTAGAGCGACGGTCTCGTTTCCTACAGGTCCGCGTTCAATCCCCGACCGCCCAAGAGGTTGGGCACCATTCCTTTCCCCCGTTCCATCCCAAATCCGTATCCTGATCCCTTCCGAGCGCTATATAGTCATAGTAGCTTAGCGCTTTCACTTGATAGTTCCCCACCCCCCTGAATAATATTACGAGAGCACTATTTACGGGCTATTCATGCCCGTGCCACCTCTTGGGTGGCTTAATCTTCATCAATCGAGAGCAGTACGTCCTAACCAGACATTATATGATGATATCCTGAACAGTTGATAAATAAAAGTAATTGCGGAACTCCAGTTATCTAATACTTATTTATCATAAATGGTATAAAACCTTATCATAAGCCAAGGGATTTGTAGATCAGTGTTTAAAAGGGAAATCGGAAATAATAATAACACAGCTGATGCCATCTGTCGGCAGAAGAGAACACTATCAACTGGCTGGTCAACAGTGGCCATAAGATACAGCTTACGCCATCTGTTGACATCAAATTACACTTATAACAAATTACCCTACAAAATACCACTAACGCCATCTAGTTTTTTTCCAACGCACTATAAATAGCCAAACAGCAACCCATAAGGCGGGTTGTTGTGCTCGGGTAGGAAGTTCCAAGCTCCGCCCACAGATGGTATGGGGTGCATAATAAATGGCATATCATTGGTAGATATTCTTTGTTGACATTCACACAACAGCCAATCACAGGAAGGGATCAGCTAAAGGCTCCATCCACTTAATAAATCATCTTTATTCAGCACACCATCCTTGCTTATGACATTCTGCTTCAACTTTAATCTACCTAAAAAGTGAAATGTTAAGTATTTAAAAATATTAATATAGTGATAATTAAATACTGCAGGATGTAACGGGTGTTACAGAAACATGGGCTGGCTACCTAACTTGTGACGTCATCAGTGGGAGTTGCCTCACACAATAATATCGGCGATACAATGCCTCCGCCCTCTTATTGGTCTACATTATTCAGTTAGATGGAAATTTCTGTCTTGTATAAAATAGAAATTGTTGTTCTTTTGTACAACAATAAGGTTATTGAGCAAAAGGACGTATTTCTTATTTTGCATTTTATTCATATAAGCGTTGGCATTCCTCGCAACAGCCAATCACAGGAAGGTATTTGTTGCAGAAACTCTGCCTTCAACAAAGTTGAGTCCTAATGAACTCTAACAGAAAATTCGTTTAATAAACGAGTATTTAGAGTCAAGCTACAGATGAACATTATAGGATAACGGTGTTCTAGCTTGCAGCTTCGTTAGACAGAATCCCTGGTCTTAATTTTAAAAATATAGAACTAGAAAGCGTATTTTATTGCTAACTTTTCGAGAAATAAATCCCAGTCTCATATTGGCGAACATTTATGCATTGATTTTTTGGTTTACGTTCTTTTCATAATCCCTTTTGCAATCTCAACACCATCCGGCTCGTATCTTGTAACTATCTTCGTTACTTAGCCTCAAAACCTTACATTTGTCTTACATATCCTCAACAGTAGATAAAAATAATGTAATTGCAGAATTCTAGTTACAAATAACAAATACAAATACAAATTTTTATTCAGGTAAAGTACATACATACAAGGCGAGATACAAAAGTTGATGGATTTATAGATAGAGCTAGTACATATAATGCCTAAAGCCACTATTACGCAAAGCGTTTCGGGCAGGAAAAACACTAAGACTAAAACTTAATACTAATTGAGATTAAAGTATAAATTGTGTTGAGAATACCTAATACCAGCACGGTATAAAACCTTATTATAAGCTACCAGACGCATAGATCAGTGTTTAAAGTAATAATAATACATTATTATTAATGTAATAATATTATTAAAATAATAATAATACAACTGATGCCATCTGTCGGCAGATAAGAACACTATCAACATTTTTTTTTTTTTTTTTTTTTTTGCAGGGATAATCCTGCGCGGGCCCTAAGCCTCTGGCTGGCCCACTAAGTGTTGCTTGTTTCTGTATTACTTGGGCGGAGCATGAGTATTTATGACTCGTATGGTCGCTTCAGTAAGATTTTGCCATATGTGTTTAACAACTTCTTCTGCCCTGTTGAATCTAAGTTGAAATCTTAATGGGTTTGTAACTGTGCACTGTGTTAGATAATGTTCCAGTGGTCTGTCGGGCATTTCTCCACAGTGGTGACATTTCCTCTCATCTTCCGGAACCTGTAAGCCTATTTCCCATGCACATGGGTATCCAAGCCTGATGCGATGTAAGTGCACTTCTGTTGTTCTACTGCCCCCTTTCATCAAAGTAAGTGGTACGTAGTTGGTTGAATTCTTGTACCAACCCGCAGATCCTGATGTTGCAACTGCTGTGTTGTGGTCACTGTACATCTTTTGCATTGCTCTGTTTCGAATTACTTTCTTCTGTACATTCTTAACATTAATAGCCCAAATTAGCACATCCTGCTTTTAAATTAGCCCAAAAAGTAGCAAGTAGCGAAATTAAAAATTTGGGAGCGCGGGGCTCTCAAAAGTAGCCCAATTCGCTATTTGTAGCCCAATTTGGCACCACTGTGTGCCTCACGCTGACGCTTCGCTGCCACCACCCTCAACATCTTTCTTAATTAACTCAGCATATATAATAACGCCTATTTTTAATATAAATTATTAATAAAGCCCATTAATCTTGTATTACCCACATGCTGTTGTTTATGTTTTGAAGTCATTTGATTTATATTTTACTGGTAAAAGCATTTTTTAGAAACTTAATCACTTGTGTACAAACACACAGGGATGATTTATATAATAATAGTTTAGTTCATTTATTATGCACCCCATACCCATCCTGTGGGAGGTGGTAGAAAGGGTTACAAAGGCCCACAATGGGCTCAGGGACTGAACCCCACAATTCATATAACTAAGCAAGTTACAATCTTGATGAGCTAGTTACAAAATTAAAGCACATCGTCATATCAACAATGGGTTTGAGACCGCCCACAAGTTCAGTTCCTAATTTCAGCAACTGACATATGTGGAGAATTAGTGTCACAATAGATATGTTTATCTTGCACACCGCTCCTCATCCAATGGGCAGCGGTGGATAAGTTACAGTCACTTAGTTACTACCTACAGTTAGCAAACTGGGGATATTTGGCCAAGACTTTTGGCAGCAGATCATTTAAAATGATATATTGATACATCTCTTGAACATTTGTTATAGAGTTGTCTCTGAATTCAAGTATTTTTTCGCACTTCATCACATAGTGACGAAAAGATACGTGAATTCAGAGACAACTCTACAACAAATGTTCAAGAGATGTGTAAATATTTCATAACAGCCCATTTACATAGTAACGATGAGGACTATAGTATATATGGGCTGACATACAACGAAATTAGGAAGCAGAAATCTGAACTATTGAGTTAGACAAACCGGAAAACTATTGTTTACTTGTGTTGCTTTGAAAAACTAAACTAACCTAACCTTCCTACGCCAATTACACCATATCTGAGCCCTAATATAATTTGTTGTCTCTTCCCACAACCAAACCATCGCCAGAGAAATCCTAGTAAACAACACAGAAATCATCGATAGATACAGCGATAGCAGACGGCTTGACGTTTGCGAGGCACTACACATTAAGAAGTCAACACCAGCAATATATATATATATATATATAAGTTGTGAGGGTACCACCTCTGGAGCAAATGTGGGGACCCATAGCCTCGGAGAAGAAAATAAGAAGTATAAATAAGGAAAATAAGGAGAAGATCTTGTGGATTCTCACTGAACACTTTAATATTTTCTTCTCTTACCACCCCCATTCACACATATATGTTTGTTTTATTTAAACTTTGTTACAAAAAAAGGAGTTACGTATGAGGTACAAAGATGATTATCATATGTTGTTGAGTTCCTCAATGTCCTCAGATGACGGGTAGGAACCCTGAATGCAGTATGCATTTCTCCTCTGTATCGCCACACTGAGGCGCTGGAAAAGGAAGCTGGCAGCTCTAGGGTCTCTTGTTGTTTTAAGCATTTTAACCCGTCCTCGACTCAAGTCCATTACATCCGGCAGTCGACCCCATAAACGCATTCATAAAATTTAACATCCTCTTCATTCAAAAAGGAAATTTTCTCAAATATAAATTATTATTATAATATATTAGCATATTGTGCATATATAAGCGTAGATTAGGTTAGGTTAGGTGTTTAGGTTCTGTTGGCGATTATTTGTAGTATGTGTTGACCAGACCACACACTAGAAGGTGAAGGGACGACGACGTTTCGGTCAGTCCTGGACCATTCTGAAGTCGATTGTAGTACGTGGGTGAAGCGCTGCAACCCGTCCTCGACTCAAGTCCATTACATTCAGCGGTCAACCCCACAGACGCATTCATAAATTTTAACATGCTGTTCATTCAAAACGGGAATTTTCTCAAGTATAAATTAATATTATAATATATTAGCATATTGTGTATATATAGGCATAGGATAGGTTAGGTCAGGTGTTTAGGTTCTGTTGGCGATTATTTGTATTTGTAGTACGTGGGTGAAGCATTTATAGCGTTGTGATTCGAACAAAATTCGTCAGTGAAGCACTTGTTCCGGATATGTTCGAACGTCAGCAGTTGTGAGTCGTGTGTAAATCGCTTTTCATTCATAAACAGGGGGTTTGGCGGGTGCATGGAATCACTTTTGGATCTTTGTTTGGAGGACGGGCTGAGCATTTATAGCGTTGTGGTTCGAACAAAATTCGTCTCGTTCCGGAAGTGTACCCATGACTCACAACAAAATCAGTTGTGAGTCGTGTGTAAACCGTTTTTCATTCATAAACTGGGGATTTGGCGGGTGCATGGAATCACTTTTGGGTCTTTGTTTGGAGGACGAGCTGGCATGGAATCACTTTTGGGTCTTTGTTTGGAGGACGAGCTGGCATGGAATCACTTTTGGGTCTTTGTTTGGAGGACAGGCTGGCATGGAATCATTTTTGGGTCATTGTTTGAAGGACGGGCTTGAGCATTTACAGTGTTGTGATTCGAACAAAAGTTGTCAGCGAAGCACTGTTCGAGAAATGTTCGAACGTCATCAGTTGTGAGTCGTGTGTAAATCGTATTTCATTCATAAACAAGGGAGTTGGCGGCTGCATTAAAGAGCATTTGGCATTTGTTGATGAAGACGTGCTGTACCTGGGCTGGACAGAAACACTTCTGTCCCGCCCAAAATTCTAACCCGGGATTCCCGATTGTGAGTTGGAAACGAACCCAACTGTACTGCCAAACATTAGTCAATTAGATGATAAGAAGTGGGACTAAAAAGCCGAAGCTTAAAACGCAAGCACAACACGATAGATACACGCGCGCATGCGTAAATAAGTGATGACCCTTCATGTTGCGTCTGGCAACGCAGCACGTGACGTCACATTAAATAGTTGCCATGGTTTTGCATATTTATATTTTTACACCATATATGGGCCAAATCGAAAAGTTATTTTACGTTGTAATATTCCGCTACCTACCTAAATTTGTTAATAAAAATACAGCTACTTATTCGCTCACGTTCATTTGTTATAAATACATCATGTAAAACTGGATGTTATTCACAGCAAGGATCTGCCACTCACAGGATGTGTATTGGGTGCACAAGAATCTATATAATTCATTATAATTAACACGCTTTATTTTCATATTACGTTTCAGATGGTTTTTGTCCTCATAAAAGTAAACACCACTCAAAAACCACATTGCGTTGGAGGGTAAGTAAAACCCAGTATTATATATAACATCTTTGGGATAATGGGGGTTCAAATAAAGACCTGTCATATGGAGCCTTTAGAAAAAAGTGCTGGTGTGCTTAAAAGCCTATTAAGTTATCTAAAATAAGTCAAATATAGTCAGAGCTTTTCAATATGTAATATTCTAAAATTATCGCAGTTTTATACATATCTAATATGTTGATTTACGACAATGAAACGCTGGAACCACAGTGGTATTGGAACAACTCCATCTTGTCGATCAAGAGAAGGTAGTAACGTCTGCGTAACGTAAGTATTTACCCTGCTTTGTTTTTGATGCTGAACGTTAATAGAATGTCATACTCGGCACACTGATTTCATAAAGAAGGCGCCCGCTTGGTATTACGGAGGAGTCAAAGGAGGAGAATGGTAGTAAACGGTGGGTAATTGACTGAGGGTGTTGGTGGGGCCTGTGCTGGCGGGTGTTCCACGCACCACAGTCCTCCTCGTACCTCTCTCATCAACCCAGCTTTTCACACACCCGCCTTCTTACCAGACCTTCCAAGCTTAAAGACTACATACAAATGATTCTTTATTTAACAATGTTATGCGTGACAGCCCCTGATAATTTTGTTTACATTGGAAAACATTCTACTTTTGCGACGCTGCTGCTGATATTTTCGATATTTTTCCTCCCCCTGAAGGACTTTTTACGCAAGAGGCTCGTTGGCAGTGTTGTTTTCAGTATGCGGGTCGGGATATATGAGAGCTTGGAATGTTTTATGTTGAGGAGGGGTTTGTATGGTCAGTATCACAAGACTTTACCCAGAGTAAGACTTCAGAATACTATTTTTCGGTGTTCATGGAGGTGCTTGCTGTTGGGTCCACAATATGATGGACATACCAGATAAGTGCTTACAGTCGCAATACCAGGGTACCAACTTAATGTAAGCAATACAATCATATCTAATAGTTCTATTTGTAGTACTGACAGAATTATTTGAGTGGGTATATAGGAGTGGCCTCATGTAGGCCAATATGCCTTTGCAGTATCCTGCAGTTTTATTTTGCATGTTCTCAATAACATTAATGCAAGAAACAGTTCTATATTTGAAAGTAATTTTTATCTATCATGAAATAGTAAAATTGTTCCTGATACTTGACACTTGTCATTTAATGCTGGTGTTTATCTCAGAAAGCCACTGAGTTATTTTTGGTAAAGTTTTCTTACCTTCTCAAATACATGCTTCATGTTAATTTAATATTCCCAATTTCCTATTATTCATTCTGAAGGGTTAATTATTTTGGTACTGTTCTCTTAATGGATGCTTGTTGCCCAAGGCAGCTTGCTAGTGGGTTTTAAAATTTACCCACCCTAACTCAGCCAAGTCAGTCTCAACCTAACTAGCCAGCCATTGTCCAGCCACCTTCACTGGACGGTAGAGCGACGGTCTTGCTTCATGCAGGTCGGCGTTCAATCCCCGACCGTCCAAGTGGTTGGGCACCATTCCTTCCCCCCGTCCCATCCCAAATCCTTATCGTGACCCGTTGCCAGTGCTATAAAGTCGTAATGGCTTGGCTCTTTCCCCTGATAATAAAAAAAAAAATCAACCTAACTATTGAACCTAATCTAACATATTCAAACTGAACTTATACTTAATGAAATACTGTATACAGGTTTGGTTTTATGAAATAGAAATCAACTTTCAAGATGCCTGTTTATGATTTGACCATTTCCCAGTTGTATATTGTCAATCCTGATTCTAAACTGCATTCAACAATCAGATTATGGTAGGTTAAATTACTGTATTTAGGCAGTGCTGTTTCAGTTGTGCTGTATTCAGAACCTGGCAGCCATTATCGCAAGTAAGGGTTTAGAATTTGGCCCAAAATTGACAGGCCTAACACTAAAAGTGATGACTCTGCTAGCAATTGTGCTTTAGCTGTGTGTTTTGGGTTGAATACATTGTTATACAGTATTTCAGTAATTCCAAATTTGTAAAATGTCTCATGGGCCAGAGTCCAAATTGTAACAGGTCAACTCTACCTGTATCCAATGTAATCACAATTCATAGCTTAGGTAGGTTTTTCAGGTTTGCATATATTGTATATACAGTACGGCAAATTCTTATAAAAAATAATGCAATCCTTAATATTAAATAGGTAGTAAATGTTACATGTTACACACTATTGCATCAGTGAATGTAGCAGCAGGCAGTATAATTGATCACCAAAATACTGTAGTGAATAAAATATATTAAAGGATATCCAAACCACAAGTCAGATAATGAAGAAAGTATAGTACAACGTTTTGGTCCATCCAGGACCGAAACATTGTTGTTTTTTAATTTTTTGATGTGTGGATTGGAGATCATATCATGGCCATGTTATTGTGACTTATTGTCTGCATATACAATATATTATATATTGTTATACATTGCAGTATTTTGCAGTGTTTAGTATTTTCTAAGAATTTAATAGTGTACAGTACTAACAAGTCACCTTATTTTAACTCGTAGTCAAATTATGTTACACATATTAGGATTAGGTTAGATTATGCTAGGATGGTTAGTTAAGATTAGGAGTGAGATGCAAATGTCATATAACTGGGTTATATGATATCATATAACCCAGATCAAAGCATTTCCAGTTTGTAACATATCTGGTCAACCCATAACAATTTTCTGTTGAACTTGTAGCACACTGATTACAGTTTTCTATGTACAGTGCAAGATGTAATAAAAATGCACACATATCATCTCTGACTTATTGACCAAAGATGTTTGGAAGCTATGTTAGTACTTAATTGTATATGTTGTGTTCCATTTGCTACTGCTCTTAAGGCTAGTGTATGCTGGCTGTAAATGCCAGCACACACACTGTAACACTGTGTGTGTGTTCAGTTATACACAAGACAATGTTAGAGAAGATTCAGAGGAATTCCTCCAGACTAGTCTCAGAACTGAGAAGTATGAGCTACGAGGAAAGGCTATGGAAGCTGAACCTACCGTCCCTGGAAGACAGAAGAGTAAGGGGAGACGTGATAACCAACAAAATTCTCGGGGGAATTGACTGGGTGGACAAAGACAAACTATTTAGCATGGGTGGAACACAAACAAGGCAACACGGGTGGAAACTTGGTACCCAAATGAGCCACAGACATTATATATAATTTTTTCAGTGTCAGAGTAGTTAACAAATGGAATGCATTAGGCAGCGATGTAGTGGAGGCAGACTTTATACACAGTTTCAAATGTAGATTTGATAGAGCCCAATAGGCTCCAGAATCTGTACACCAGTTGATTGACAGTTGAGAGGCAGGACCAAAGAGCCATAGCTCAACCCCTGCAAGCACAATTAGGTGATTAGTAGGCAAAGTAAACAAAATATTACCACAGTTTCTAATACTGTACAATGCTATGCAGTATTTATTTATAAATGGCTATGGGTCAAAGGGGATAAGAACTTGAGGAAATAAGCGAGTTAAATATTTTGTCCAACAAACAAAATTTGTGACTAATCTAATGTGTCAATGGGTTTGGTGAGTTCGAAAATTGTGCTAGCTGTGTGGTTTTATTTTTAATGTTCCAATTGGATAAACAAGGTGGTTGATTGATCAATAAAATACAGTATCCACAAATGCGACATTTTGTACCGTTTTAATAGCTAAACCTGCAGTTTGTTCATTATAAAATGGCCAAGCAAAGCAGTAGAGTTTTCTGTTTAAGGTAATTTTTTCTTTTCAGTCAAATTTTGCATGTTATGAATTACTCGACTAGTATTTATATTTTCTTCAATTAATAGTTGATGACTTGTGGATAATAGACAAGTGCATGCTCATGAGAATACTGTGCATTACATTGTACTGTACTGTGAAGCTTATCTGAAATATTGGAGACCAAAATTTTCATTTTACTCTACAGTAATGTACTGCATAGTATCTAGATTTCAAGATACATTAATATTACTTTTTGTTTTATTCTTTTTTTTTTTTTTTTTGAGAAAATAATGCATTTTGTTAGTTAAGTTACTTCAAATTTAAGTATTTAGTATAAAAAATAAATTTTAATTTAGTCTTATTGAATTCATATACACTAGAGTTTCATTTTTGCACCTTAACTTCGTAATCGTGGTATGATTGACAATAACACTGTTTTATTATTGGATAATAAAGAAAATGTTACTGTATAATCTGATTTGGGGTAATCTGGTATTTACTTCACATTATGCCCGAAACGCTTTGCGTAATAGTGGCTTTAGGCATTGTATGTACTAGCTCTACCTATAAGTCAACCAATCTTTGTAAAAAATTTCTTGTATGTATGTACCTTACCTAAATAAACATTTATTTATTTATTTATTTTATATGAAATGGGGTAACATTCGAAGGAAATTTGGGAGACAGATTTATCCAGAGAGGAAATAGATTGGGAAATTTGTTGAATGATTTTAAACATGCGTTTGGAATTGCAATAATAGTATAATTCTTTGGTAATTTGGAATTCCACCAAGATTTTACAATTGAATGTTGAAGTATTGTAGGGGATTTTTTTCTTTATTGGGCATGGTTGATAAGCATTTTTACGCTTTTGAATGTAAAACGGAAAAATTAAACTGAATCGTTTGAATACGAGAACGGGAACCAAGAGGGAATCAAAGTTTCATATATTTAATGATATGCTTATTTATTCATCAAAGTTTAAGAGGCAAGGAATAAGAGAGAACTGGGGTACAGTGCTATAATGACTATTCTGAAACTAGGATTTAGAAGTAAAGAAGTAGGTATACTACTGTATTTGACATCAGCAGTGCATGGAGCAAATTATGAGTTGGACTAGGAATAAGAAAACAAAAGGTATTTTTATAAAGAGCGATTTATATTGTACTAAAGTAATGTTTTAAGATAAACTGAACTGGATGTACTGTACAGTGAATTTATACAGTACTATCCAAAAATGTACAGAATATTAATTTCTGTACAGGATTATAATTTACAACTTGTACATGTATCATGAATACAAAATATCCAGAAAATAAACACCATCCCATATAAAACAAAAGGTTTAATAATGGGTATGTATTGGAAAACTAAGCAAAGTGAAATCAATCATGAAGCCAATACAGAAACTGTACAAACTGACAAACCTACCTGAGATTCAGACTCCACAAACACTACAGGATACCATTCAGTACAAAATTAGTAGAAACATTCTAAAAATATATGACAAAAGGAAGACAGGTCCCAACTTAAAATAATATTTAATTATGTAACAAAACAAAATGGCTGTGATGACTAAACAGAATAAATT